AACAAAGACCCATGTATACATACCTTATAGACTAACATACATAACAATATAAAATAAAATAAATAAATAAATAAATATAAAAACAAAATACACCTATATTAAAGTCAAAGTCAAAGTCAAAGATGATTTATTCCATAGGTAAAATAAATTTACACTTGAAAACGTCACATTTAAGGTACTGCTCGTTCACTACGCTGACCTCCCTGAGAAGAACGAGCAAGAAACTCTAGGGATTGCTCTTTTCAAATAAACTTAAATGCTATGGAATACATTTTGAATCAAATTTGTGTGGATTCTGGAGCCATGTCGTCTTTCCATACATCTTTATCTAACACGTAGTCTTCAATTTTGTAATATGATTTTTCGATCAAAATATTTTTAATGTAGTTTTTAAACTTAGGAAATGATAAACTTAATATATGCTCCGGAATCTTATTGTAAAAATATATATACCTTAAAACAAACATACATATAATATAATAATAAAAACTAATCTACACGATTTCCCTTATCGGCGACGTGTGGCGCAATCTGGTGTCAGGTAACCGGCCGCGGAATCGCCGATATATGACATCCTTCGGCCAAAATTCCTCTTTCATGAAGGTCGAAAGATGTTCAGTCGGTATTCTCACCACAAACGAATTAAAGTTCACGTTGCGGCGAGACTCCAACCGCTCGACCCTCAGGGTGTATTTGGTTTTATGCCTGATATACTCCACTATCTCCTCAGACTTCGTGGAGTAATGCAGCCGCGACAGGTACATCAACGTCGTCGGTACGGCCGGACGCAGCAGGAAGTTCGGTCCTGTCGGAGCTGTGCCACACTGGTTACGGCTGGTGGGCTTCCTCTTCACCACCTTTGTGAAGCCGTTCTCGTCGCACTGGACCGTCTGCATCAGTGGTTTTGCAACTTCAGAGACAGGCACACGGAAATTGGTTTTATCCTTAGCCGATTGCCGCCGCTCGAATTTCGAAGTGGCGGGTCGGCTAGTTGAAGCGGCTACAGCGGCGTATGCACGTGTCGGGGTTGACGTGCACACGCGTGACATTTCCACCGAGACAGAGGGGCGGGCAGCGGGGCGCGGCGCATCATGCGCGGTGGCAGCAACGAATGGTGACGCATTGTGTGCCGACTCGAAACTGCTGACCGAGGCATTCAGCGCTGCTCCGCGTCGTGTGTTTACATTAGAGGCTTCTGGTGACCTACATACCGAAACAGCATTGCTTAATAGCGCAAAATGGGTACGCAGCTCACTTATGATGTTATCCGAAGCCTCTAATTTACACTATACTTCCGCTAGGCTAGACTTCAGGGACGTAATATCCTTCAGCAGCCTAGTAACATCGACGTGGTCGAACGTGACGGGGGGCAGCTTGTGCAGCTCCTTCGCCACGAATGTAGGCACGTCGTCCGGGTCAGTCTCCTTCAGCAGCGTGATTATTTCTTGGAGACTCTTCACGCCTCCATCCCTCCGGCGAGATGGCATCTCTTCGGCTTTACTGAGACGCTGGAAAAGCAGCATCTTGCCACTGCAAATCTCATCTTCACTGAAATTTGATTTGCATATCTGCACTATGCTGACTTCATCCATGGTGTCGATAGCGTGTATAATGAACGCCAGGAGCTCATTGGCAATGAGTTGCTGGGAACTCATTGTCAATTACGCGCAGCGGCTTGTGCCGCTCGAAACGCGAGTTAGGTGTAATTAACTCACTTCGTCGTGACACGTCCGTTTCCGAGCGCGCATTGCTATGGACTGTAATATTGATTGTGATGATTGATATCCCAATTTGACTATGTTGTCTCTACATCGGCCATCTTCTGAACTGAGACGGTTCAGGGGGCCTACCATAACCTTTCAAAAAACAATCTTATTTCAGTGTAAGCTTATAATAAGCTTATTATAATATTACTCATATTCGTACCATGACAAACCTATCAACCAAGTAATGTATTATTGCTAAAGTGACTGAAAGAACGAATGATTTCGCAATATTGTCTATTCCTTACTAAAAATAGGAAATAAATAACGCTATATGAACTATATAATGCCATCACTTTCTTTTTTGATGTACCGAATTGTCCTACATCGTAGTATAATGGTAAAGTACTCAATATTGTTTACATTCGTTGAATTTTGACTGCAATATTAAAATTACGTTGTTTTCAATTATTTTTCCGCATTTCCACGAAGAAAAATAAATAAAACAAGCTAAATCTTGATAGTCATGTTGTGAATTCGGAATTATAGTCTAGTTCAACTGTTAGTGTCGCCAAGGAGTATTTAGATATCGCTGTCATAATTTTACGAAATAAACATCGCGTATTTTTATTTAACGAGAAATTATTTCCTATGTACTCTTAAATAAAAAATAAACAAAATATTGAAAAGAAATGAATTAGTTGACTTAACTTTTAATCACTATAAAAAAAATATTTAGACAATAAATTCGAAAATAATGAAGTTTCCACCCAAAAATAAACAAAATATTGAAAAGAAATGAATTAGTTGACTTAACTTTTAATCACTATAAATTAATATTTAGATAATAAATTCGAAAATAATGTTGATTGCACCCGTGTAACTATTTTAAGATTGCTAAATTTGACATAAGAACAATATTACTTTAATGTTACAGTCGCGTCATAGTACGAACTGAGGGAATGAATAGTCACAAAGCTGCCAATAAAACATTATAGTTTCAACATTATAATAAGCTTACTTTAATCGCGTCATGGTACGAACAGTCAATGTAAGGTTAAAGTAATACTGTTTTAAGAGGTTATGGTAGGCCCCAGGGATTTCTATATTGGCCACTGCAACTCGTACACGGGGGAGATGTTTTGATTTGAATGATATACATATAAGTACTCAGTAATACTATATTTATTTTGTTACTACGAACAACCTGTTTTTTGTTATAATTCTGAGTAATGAGACGAACAAATCGTGCGCCTGATGCTAAGCGACACGTCTTACCATAACAGTTGCACTGCCACTCAGAGCTTTAAATCCCAAAGATCTGAGGGACACTGCCACTGCGCCCGACACCTTGAGACATAAGTCAACAAGTCCCATGTGAATCCCTAGCGAGCGTGTGCTATTTATTGATATAGACCTTTATTTGTTGTGCCTGTAATTTCACCAGCCCTTACCTTTCGAAATCGGAACTCAATAATGCTCACATTACTGCTTGCCGGCAGAAATGTCAAGGTGGCAGTACTTCCCTGAATGAACACTTTCACAAGGAGCTTTGCTGCGTTGTAGGAAGAGAATAAATAGAGTGGTCAGAAACATATAACATGGCGTAATCCCTTAATTCTCTTGTGCATTTTTTTCTAAAACTAGCCTAAACTAACCGAGCATATATATAATATATCTATAAAGATTTCTGAAAAAAATATCATTTTTTACATGGACTTTCAATATTTAAAACTCTGTCGGGTAAAAAAAAAGCTTTCACAAGGAGCTCTACTGCTATAAAACCGGTGTTACAGCAAATAAATGGGTTATGGTGTGAATTATGAAGAGAGGAAATTTAAACTTGGATTTATATGAATCGAAATCACATCTAGATACATTAACCTATAGTGCCATTGGTTCTCGTTCTGTTTAAACATCTATTTGTCAAAGAAATACTAGAATTCTGGCACCATTGCTTTTTGCTCTATTATGACTTCAGCTTATTCAAATGGAAATGACTAATTTACAAAGTTCGAGTAATATTAAGAGATCTGAAAAGATACATACATCAGCCTATGTTTATTTATTTTATACACTTACTAGCACCATAGCTCAGATCGCAATTTTCCTTTTTCTGTTTATGCGATTTTTTTTGTAACCGCAGACGCCATCGAGTGTATAACCAGAAATAGAGACGAAATGTCATTTAATTTGTTTGAAAACTATTCTGCCAAATAATTACTGTGACTGTAACTGCGCTCCGATTGGCCAGCCCGAATTTGAATCAATTGACTTCAAATCGGCCAGTTTAACTTGAGCTTTGCTATAATGGACGAAGATTGCAAAATTACATATTTAATATTTAATTACTGATAAAATGTGATTTTGTTTGTTTTGTAATTAGATGTTTTGCTGTTTCTCCCACACCACCGAATGTAACAGCCCCCATTGTTAGAGATATTTTCTTTATTACAATAAATACAAATGCAATGTACGGAGACGTATACACAGATCAGTTGTCGGCGCTGTACTATTTCAGCTGTCCAATTTGTGATTTCAGCGCAAACAGAGTTGATATTTAAAAGTGATATAAGGCCCATTTGCCTGATGAGTTGCTAGGGATTGATGGCCCTTATTTCTTATTTCTTTATTTCTGATTATATACTCGATATACAGACACAAATGCTTCCATCTGTGGTCTAATCGGGATGGTTCTTAAATAAATATATGTTTAGTGAACATCGGCTTGAAAATGTTAACGTAAGTTTTTATTAAGTAGGTACTGCGCATGTTGCAAATAGGTGAAATGCAACTATTTCTGTTGTGTAATATTCGTGCTAGGAGTGTGGTTTAAGAATTTATTTTCTCAAAAGAATTATACATTGACTGAAATGAGAAACTTAAATATAGTAAAATTACATAAGCCTTAAACATAGTACGTCGTACGACAAACGCTAAATGCATAAAATCTATGTAATACAAATATAACATTTTTAAGACATGGGCAGTTTTGACTCAACCAACGTAACATACTGGGCAAAAGTATCGTGTGTTGGCGCAAACGTATTCTACACAGATCGGCAATAACTAGATGTGTCAAGAAAAGTACGTTACAGGTTTTGTTTATTATTTGAAATTTATTTTTTATTATGTATTTTTATTAAATAACTTCACTAGTTTATTATAATTATATTTATACAAATATAGAATACAAAGTAAAACTCGCTAGACCTTACAGGACATGTATACTCAAGTCCACGGTATACCGTTTTATTATGAAATGACTGTAAAATTCTGTATTAAGATAAATTCCAGGTGTACATGTTAATGTGCAAAGTGAATTCACAAATCGTTGCCTGCCCGAATGCGAGCATTACAGCTATCCTCTTGAGGTAGCACTGGGAAAACTGGCGAAAAATGTGCGTCTAGAAGGACAAACATTTTTGTAAGTACTTTTGTCTTTGTTTTTATACCTTTATGCGGTCTAATTCAATTATACATAGTTCAAAACATGACATCTTAACATTGTATCACATTAATACGCTGAGATTTATTAATTTATTAAATTTTATTGACCACAACATGTAATGGTACTAAATTCGGACTTAATGCTAAATGCATTCTCTATTAGTCAACCTTTGGGGAAAACGAAATTCACGAGGGCGGCAAATTAATATTAATAATGTAATAATACCATGCCAAATGTAATAAATGTATAATCATATATAACAAACAAACGTAATTTATATACTTATATCGATACCTCCAAGGAACACTACGCCAGCTTACTTTTTGGACTTGTTCTGTTTCTTTTTTGTTTTTGTTTCTTTGTTTTTTTAACAATATTCATTGTATTTTTCGGATTTTGTTTATTGTTTCACACAATTTTGTTAGTGAATAAATACTTATGGCTGTTTACAAAATAACAGAAAATGACAAAAAAATAAAGTTGGCGCAGTGTTGTGTCGATACCAAGTAACGGGAAGAACATGTCGTGCGACTGGTGGTAAGCGAAACGCCTATCTCTAACAGTTACAATGTCATGGAGAGTTCAAATTGCAAAGATCTGAGGGTCACTGCCACTGCGCCCGTCTCCTTGAGACATGAGTTGAAAATTCCCTAATAATGTAGATAGAGTTACAAGATTTGGAGAGGTTGTGGGATTATATTTTTTGTATCTAATTGAGCAATAAACATGTTTGACGTAACTCCACTTATGCCATTCTTCCAAGAAGTTATTAATTTATTTACACGAAGACATAATAATCTTTAGTAATGTTCTTATTCCAATAAAATAGCGACTTATTTCTTATTCCAGTCGTAATATAAATCTGGAGAATAGAAGCGTGATAAATGTGTTTTTTAACGATCTTGTCTCTACGCGATACCGCCGTGACGTATATTTGAACTGGCAAAATCTTCTAGGTAAGTACTTATGTTATTTACATAGACATATACCCATCGTATATATAACCAGAAATAGAGACGATATGTCATCTAATTTGTTTGAAAACTATTCTGCCAAATCACTATGGTGACAACTGCGCTCCAATTGGCCAGCCCGAATTTGAAACAATTGACGGGTGTCGTCAATTGTTTCACTTCAAATCGACCAGTTTAACTTGTGAGTAATGTGATTCCTTTCGTTTTGTAATTAGATGTTTTGCTGTTTTTCCACACCATGGAACAGCCCCAGCCCTTTCGGTGGTGTGGGAAAATACATATCCTTATTACAATAAATACAGGATGTTTTTGGAATATACGGAGACTACACCCAGGCCACTTGTTGGCGCTGTACTATTTCTATTTTGTGATTTCCGCGCAAACGAGAATTTATATAGGACCCATTTGTCTGATGAGTTGCCAGGGATGGATGGCCCTTATTTTGTCTCTATTTCTGGTTATACACTCGATGCATGTACCTAATAAGCTCATTTCAACTAATTAAAATGTACGATACCTGTTTATACCATAAGGTTATTATATAAGGTAACGTGCATTAAAATCATTATGGACCCTATAATTCTAACCCTATTCTTGTATTTATATTTACTAAAGCCTTAAGATATACTGGTACATAGTTATCATTGTGTATTTGAAAAAAAGTAGTAAGTAATATAATAATTAGTTTATTTTATATTAGTTATTCTTGTCTAATAATATACTATTATTAAACATCTATGTTTTATATTAAATAAGTATTTATATTTTTAATTGGACATATGGTATTCATGTAGTGTATAGTATTTAGCCACTAAACCTGTTTTTAATGCTTCTATAAATTTTGTTTCTCTTTTTATTATTTTTGGTAATTTGTTATTAATTATAAATGATATAACAAACGGGCTTAATGCAATATTAAGTAAAGAGATCATCGTAATGAAAAGTTTGCCATTTTGTGGCTTCCTCAATATTGAATCAAATATAACATGGGGCGATACCATCAGACGAATGTTGTTGTCTCTACGTCGAAGTCATTTTAGGTGGAGGTCTACTAATATCAGGGTGTTTACGCTTCGAATATCTTAAGGCGAGGTAATTGATGTGAGCCTAGATTTTAAGAGGTGAGGTGTGCGGGGCTGCCCGCGCGTCTCGCGTTCCACGCGCAGAAAATTAATATGATTAAATTAGAACAGGGGGCCACCATAACCTTTCCAAAAACAATCTTATTTCAATGTAAGCTTAAAGTAAGCTTATTATAATATTACGCATACTCGTATTATGACAAACCTGTCAATCAAGTAATCTATTATTGCTAAAGTGATTGACAGAACGAATGATTTCCCAATATTGTTTATTCTTTACTAAAAATTGGAAATAAATAACGCTATATGAACTATATAATGCCATCTCTTTCTTTTCTTGATGTTCCGAATCGTCTTATTGTAGTATAATATTTATGTACTTAATGTTATCTACATACAGAGAATTTTAACTGTTAAAAAAATAAAAGTGTGTAATAATAAAATCTATTAACATTACGTTATTTTAAATTATTTTTCCGCATTTTCATGAAGAAAAATAAATAAAACTTAAATAAATAAAAATAAAAAGCTGAGTCTTAATAGTCACGTTGTGAATTCGAAATTATAGTCTAGTGTCAACTGTTAGTGTTGACAAGGAGCAGATAGATATCGCTGTCATAATTTTACGAAATAAGCATCGTATATTTTTATTTAACGAGAAATGATTTCTAATGTAGGTACTATTATATAAAAAAATAAACAAAATATTGAAGAGGTTTATGTAAATAAATTAATTCAACTTAACTTTTAATCACTACAAATCAATATTTAGACAATAAATTGAAAATAATATTGTTTCCACTGCGTCCGAGTAACTATTTCAAAATTGCTAAATTTGACGTAAGAACAATGTTACTTTAATGTTACAGTAGCGTTATAGTACGAACTGAGGGAATGATTAGTCATAAAGCTGCCAATAAAACATTATAGTTTTAACATTATAACAAGCTTACTTTCAGCGCGTCATGGTACGAAAAGTCAATGTAAGGTTAAAGTAATATGGTTTTAAGAGGTAGTGGTAGGCCGGCCAGGCCGCTTATATGGCTTCCCGTATACAGTACGTCCCCCAAGGAGAGACGAGTTCGGTACGCTTTTCTAAGGGTTCTAAACAACAGAAATACCGTACACAGTATGTCCCCTTGAAGTGACGAATTAGTCACGCCTTTCCAGTTACCACATAAGTTTAAGCGATTAAAAAACCGTATTTGGTAAGTCCATTAGGGGACGAATTAGGTACGGGTTTTCGTAAGAAACACTCGTAAAAAACGGTCTCTGATTCGTCACGTCGACTAATTCCAGAATCAAAAACTCAAAGGTCGTACATAATTCAAACGAGATTGTCTCTTATTGTTTTAAGTAAACTGTGCAAAACGTAAATAATAAACACGGAAGCTATCTCTCTCCGTCTCACTTACACTACCAATAAACACCTACAAAATAGACAACTCGAAGCTCTAATTAGTTGCATGTTTGGAGATATTACATTAACTTTTTAATTATTGAAACAACACAAAAACTCGAGGCACAATATTTACTGTTATGACCAATTCTTTGTGTATATTTTGTAAGTTGTCCTAAATAAATAAATAAATAAAATTGGCATGTTTGGCGTACCTACCTCGTCTCTCCTTGGGGGACGTACTGTATACGGTAAGCCATATACGCCCCGAGGCCGTAGAAATTTGACACAAATCCGACGTTGACAAGCGCACAATAACAATTGGACTTAAGTTAAAAACTACAATTTTGCAGGTTCTTTGTAGTACTTAAAGAGAAATATTAAAATTGTGCGCAAAGATATATATTTTATTTTATTCTTAAATAATTCGTTTTATACTTTTATTTTGTTTTCAGAATATTATATGATAGGGTGAAGTACATATCATGTAACAAATTAACAAGTTCTTTAGACAATATCCTTAGTTGAATCGTATTTTTTGTAAGACCATTATTCAATAGTAAATACTAAAACATTGATCTAGCGAAACTGTTCCCCGTTTCTCCTAGTTACCTCGCCATAAACAAAACGAAAATGAAAAACATTGGATTACGATTACAATATTTATCATTGTAACTATAATTAGCTTCATTTGATCATCTGATAAAATTATATGTTTAACTGTCACAATATAGAAAAATAATTTGTTACGGGTAAATAATCATTTTACTATAATCTGTTATAGCAATATAATAGCGTCGTAAATTCTAATAAGATAATTGCAAAAAACACACACAAATTACCATCATTGATGTAACTAATTTCATATTCATATGGTCACTATTATAGAGTTATCACTAGGGATCAATACTTCGGATAAATATGCGGTATAAACTAGAAAATATGTACATATAATATGCGCAAAAAATCTTAAAATATGGAGATAAAAATACAACTGTGTGAAATTAAACTACGCTGTATTAAAAAACAAATCAACAAATTTTATTCCACTTCAATCTGATTTTCGTTACGGTTATTGTTACAATACACATTTACATGTTTTTTTAAATTTCAAATTTAAAATTCTGTTCGTTCGAGTAACGTTTTGTACTGGCTGAATGACCTTTCGACGTCACAGGATGTGACTGGAGCTAACTTAAATTTACACAAGTCCACAAGTGAATAGGTCACGTCTAGATTGTCTTCTAATATTCGGTACAGTACACTGTTAATTTTTATTCAAGCACGCACCTTTTTTTTCAATTAAATCAAATATCACGTAATATTGAAAATATGGATTATTGCAAGTTTCGTGTAGAAATATGGTCTAAGCCTGTAAATGTGGACAAATATTGAAAATAAAAGTCACTTCTTTATTCGAAATATTATTATTTTTGTAGAAAACAAATTAAAGAATTTCAATCATTGAAATAAAAAATATGTAATTACATATTAATCCGGGCTCTAGTTACCACTTTCGTTAAAGCTAACACAAAATTATTTTCCAGAGATCCGAATACTCATACTGATAACATAGTAACGAATATTGCTCACGTCTATTATATAAGTAAATAGATAACTACGTATGGTAATGTAATTAAAATTTGTTCAAGTGCATTAAAATTGTGTTTCCCAGTGTACTTATAGCTTTCAACTTTCTGGGGATAGGACCAATTCATTTATTATAGACTCGATGTCGAGGGAATTAACGTGAGGTATGGTTAACGATTCGATGTAAGATGAGCTTTTCCACCAGACTGACACACTAAAAAAAACAACGCTCTAGCCTACTATGAAGTGATCGAAATATTGATTACATTTATTTTCCTGACGAGACTGAAAGTCTAAAGAACAGAGGAGAAGAAACGGAGAGAGAGAAAGACTGAGCGCTAACGTAAAATCGTTACTCTTTGAGGTTATTTCTGCCTATGATATTTTACCCAAATGTTGTAAATGATATGTACTTATAAACAAATGTCTCAATAATTATTTACTAGTTCTTCGTAGGGAATTTACAATTTACTGATTTGAAAAGGGAATTGCTTAACTATAAATTAAATAGATCCTTTCTTACTTTTTAATCGTAATGTAATAGACACTGATGTAAGATGCTTTTCTCAAACCATCTCGGAAATATTTGAATTATTTTCAAAAAACGATGCAACTATCGGTTTGAGCTTGGATATGACGTAACTATAACCATTTCTGCTTGGCGCTTTATTATACATACTTTTAATTCTATCTAATAACAATGAATTATGTAAACAAAGTAAAGAAAAAGTGTCAGGCAACCATCTATTAGCATTTGTCCGCAATTGAGAGTATAAGATAAAACAATATTTTTTGTTTCGTTTTTTAGACTCGTGTATAATAAACTCATGCTCGTCAGGCAATCCTCGACTTCAAAGCCTCTATAATAATATTCTATTTCACACACGTATCTACATGCATACATAGGTATATTTTGAAATACCTATGTTGTACTTTGTTAACATACCACCATTATTGATTTAAGTACGTACATTAAATAGGTCAAGTTCACAGGTTATAGGACCTTTACATTCTCGCGACTTAATATTGTTATTCGTAATGAGTACATTTCTTTTGAATTAATTTTAAGTCGGAGTTGGAGGTCGAGCCGTAATCAATGTAACGAGTATAATGTGCAGACTTTTAGCAGTGATGCAAACGCGATACACTAGCGATGCAGTCTCTAATCGTCTACCTTTACACACGTGCGATTTTAAGCAGCGATGCAAATGCGATGCTGCACTTGGGTTTCATAGGCGATTGCATCGATGCAATAGCGCGTTTGTACCTATGCAGTCGCGCGTTTGTATCGATGCAGTCGCGCGTTTGCATCGATGCACTCGCCTATAAATCGCAAGTCTAAACTAACGTCGTGGTAAACGCGTTGCTAAAAGTCACCGTGTGTAACCACTCTAATCTACTCTGTATTTAGGAAGTGAAACTATTTTTCCGGATGTAACCTGTTTACAGGTCCATGGTCACGGTTGATGACTGTACCACCTCGGTCAACCGTGACCATGTGACCTGTAAAGGGCCCGAAACGTTGGTTTGTTTGATAAAAACAAATGTACGCGATTTAAATCTGGAAAAATAGTTTCTTTTCCTATGTGTAACAATCGCGAAAACCTAACTACTCTGTATTTGTTTCCGATGTCAAAACATGCGCGTTATCACAGACCAAATAAATACATTTGATTAATAAATATAATAAAATATACAATAAATATAAATACAATAAATTAATGCATTTTCCGTGCGCACTATGCGCACTATTGCACTGTAATATTGTATAGTTGTTGGTAATGTTAATAAGCGTATTATTAAAATAACCAACGTGTATTAAATACTAGCTGGTGCCATAAACTTCGTTTGCGTAGAAAATGTACTTCTCTACAGTACTATACAAATTTTCATAGTTTTATTAACTCTCCGAACAAACTTTTGTCCCCTATTTCACCCCCTTATGATTTATTTTTGTGATAAAGAGTAGCCTATTTCCTTCTCCTATGTCCCATTATATACAAAAATCCATCAATATTGGTTTAGCGGTTTAGATTTGAAAATGCAACAGACAGAGTTACTTTCACATTTATAATATTAATATGAATTTGCATACTTTTTATGTTATTACATACACACGCTCATATTTAGTACAGATAGTGAAGTTTCTATTTAAAGAATTTGAGAAGTTTGTAGAGTATGCTGTTAAGTTTTCAAAGGGTGACGCGTCTAAGTTTCATAATGCAGAAAGTTCCACATCGTTCATTACCTGTACCTTACTAGCTATTAGTGCTTATAGTTTCAAAAGTTTCAAAAGCAATAACTTAAATTAAATTTTAGAGTGCTTCTTTTTTATGCAAAATAGATGAATTTATACGGAACCCTTTACTATTTCCTGTTTATAACTTTAACAATGTTTTGTTGACAGCGTCTTTCGGTGGTCTTCTTAGTCTCTTGCTTGGCTTCACGCTCATCGCCGGATTCGACCTGATAATTTTTTTCTTCTTTGGCGTCGTCTACAGTTCTGACATTTGTTTCAACAAGGATAAAGCGAAAAATGAACGACTTGATAATAATATTAGTATGGGTTCTAAAGGTAACAAGATATATGTCCAAGAATTTCGTTCTAATTTTGCCGGGAAAGCAGCAAAACACGGTAAATGGTAAAAGGATATTAGATTTTAAATACAGTTAGTCAGAGTCGGTATAAAAAACGCTCACCATTTTGGTCCTCTTTGTCATAAATAACGCATTTCGAGATATTGGCACAGTTTTTTTCCTTTGAAAAATGTCAACTATGATGATTTTGCTAAACAATAAAACTGAAACTAAATAAGAATCATTAAAAAAATCCGCTTACAGGGGTTTGCAGATCTTGTTTCGCTGATTGCAGATATGTAAATAACTTCATTTCGCTAAAAATGTCGATTGAGTTGTTTATGTTAAGGACGACAGATTTATAATGTGTAGCTTTATTACAATTTTAAAAATCTAAGGTATTTGGGAATTTGTTGATGAGAAATTGAATATTAAATCGAAAATAAATGGAAGAGCTGCTATAGTCTTAAAACCATACTATGTCACCTTTTCAATGTCAATTTGTTGATTGCTGGAAGGTTACCTACATAGGGTGCTGCCACACGAAGTGCTTAGTTTGCGTGGTACGTGTGCCAACAGTTCGCAGAGTTCCGCAAACTTGAGCTCAGTCCGCCATTTTCGCTTTGTACGTTATGGTCGTGCCAATTATCTCGCGTAAAACTAAATGCCTTGTTTTGTTACTTTGCACTTTGCACACTTTTGTTAGTCGCACTTGTATTATTATCTATGGCGGTGTTGCGTATCATCATTCAGACTTATTTTGTTTAATTTGAATAAATTTTCAATTTTCTGTTTATTGTAATAATTTTTTTGTTACTAGAAACGAAGTAAACATTGTACCGCTACAACATGATTGCTTCTTGTTTGGAGAATTTAGTAAATAATTGTTATTTTTTAAAATTTGAAACTGCGACCATTCATTATCAAGATTTCATATTGTTTCAAATTGTGAATGTGTGAGATTTGGCGACAGCGGTTCTGATAGTATAGGCACTTCCATTGTTTTTTTCATCCGTGAGTGCTGCAATTATAAACTATAACTATGAAGTATTATTGGTATTGGTATTGGTGCAACGGGCTAGTTTCCGCAACTCGACGTCGAGGCGCCTATTTTGCGTGTGAAGTAATAATGAAAAAGTTTAATAAGAAAAAAAAATTAACAAGAAAATTAATAACTGTAACACAATAACTTTGGCAATATTAGTGAAAACAGTTCCGCAGTTCACCGCTAGATGGCACTGGCGTAGAAAGCGCAATTCCGGAATCGCTGTGATAAGATTTTCCCTTAAGTAATGACCTGCCACCAGTATTTTGTATGAAATTGATCGATTCAACGATTGCGCATCTACGGTTATCCTCACTAAGCGGAAGCATCGTGAACTCGCGCCCATCTTTCGGGACAGGTAAGGAACTCCTCTGAGTGAGTGTCTTTTTGTAACATTCGCACCCACCGGGACTTGTCGCGGGCTCTGCGCCGCGCTTGCATCCAACGGGACGAATCTCTTTTATTGGACACCATTGTATTATAAGCCAGATTGCAAGCGGTTGTACTATAAACCACATCTTCACCAAGTTTCGTCGTTTGATTCCTGGACGTAGTAAGGGGGCACCAGCTAGCCAAACGAATCTCTACCACCCTGTACACCCCCTCCTACTACATAACTAATAAAAATTATACTAAAACACTATGGATCACAATAGTACAGATGACGAAGACGCTTGGCTATATTGAACCCAGGATTTATTTAACAAGAAATTAACGTTACTCGCATAAGTTAAACGCTTTTTTTTTTCATTTCAACCTTGTACTCGTACGATGAAAATAAACAGAAGACAGTCAAACTTGCCCGTCATTTCTACTTTGCAACATTGGAATCAAAACGAATTCAAATATCATTCCATTCTGAAGAATAAAAAGTCATTTAAATATGTCACAGTTGTTGGAAGATAAATTTGATTTATTGTTAATAACAGAGAGTATAATATTGAATTATGCGAGCAAAAAAGCAAGTCTTACAAAAATCTTGGGAACACGAATTCCAATACCAAAGACGTATTTCCGCGTAGACGTAATGAAAAAGTCACTTAAGCTTACGTTACTTTACTGTATCCTATATGTGTACCTATTTGTGTGGGTACTTCATACAAATGAGGCCTTTTCAAATAAGACGCTCTCTAAAACCCAGTAAAATTCTTGTACTCTGAATATGTATTGGTATAGATAATGCGTTCTTTGCAAGAGTTGGGATTGTTCGTTTTTTTTTTTTTTGGTAAAAATTAATACCATACGTTCCCTACTGTATTTGTACTTTAATCATAATTATAATCAATTAATAAAAGATAAAAATTAATTTCATCTTTATTTATTATCTGTTCTTTGTGGGTATAATTACTTATAATATCAACAAACCCGCTTAGTTATTTATTATATTAGGATAGCGATATGTAAAATACATGACATTAATATATACACTAATATTAATGTTCACATATCGCTGTCCTAATATACCGTCAGATAATGTTATTAAAGCGCGAATGTATTTATATTCGCGCTTGTATTTGTATGTATTTATATACGCGTTAATAAATATTGCTATTATTTTTGGAAATCATTAAAGTGTTCATTATGTCAAAGATTTACTGTTTTTTGGTACGACTAGTTTCCATCTATATTTGAAATTTTGCAATACATAAAGTTTTGTGTTCTTGCATTGAAATTGTAAAGTAAAATATAGGCATTCATTAGTACACAGTTTTTAGCAATTAATATTGTAAATAAAATTCTTTTATGTAATTAAAGTTTTAAACTGTCATAAAATGTGACTTATTGGAGTACGATTTCGAACCTTTAGTGCCATAAGGCGTTATCGTAATATGAAAACTTTTCAGGAGAGAGGATCAAAGATTCTATGAACGATAATAGTCTTTAACTTTTTTATGCTTAAATTGTAGATTAATAAAATTTAAAATATACATAATTTGTTTCATATAGTTCTATAATTTTTACGTGACAAAAGCAATTTTCAAATATGATTAGAATTGGCTTTATTGTGTCAATGCCATGAATTACTGGTTGAAGTTACATCAAAATTATCGTCTAAAACTAGTGACATGTAGAAAGCTTTACTCGTAATAAGTAACAAAGACAAGATTTTTTTCGGCAAGGGGATTAAATTGCAAATATTGGTTGCGGCTCGGAGGTTGCAGATTCAGAACTAATATTTCCTTGACATCGAAGAGTTTGCGCTTCTGCTGGATTCCTTTTTTATATCAAAAGTCGTCCAGTCTTCGTCTGTATCAAATATCGTATTGAAACGTGAGCAAGCTTAAGATTGAATCACGAGTGAAGGGAAGTTCAAAATAGAATTCTGAGCGTAGCTACGGTTTCAAGGCACGAGACGCAAAACAACTTTTCTGCCGAGCGAAACACGCTACTTTTCACTTCACTGTAAGGAAAAAAGGGGGATGAAATAAAAACGATTGAACTTATAAGAAATCAGTTTTAATCAACAAAATTATTTATCATTGTCAATTTAATGTCAACTATAATAAGAATAAATTATACCAACGGATTTATATTATATAAATAATGTACGACAAATCGCGTAATTGAACGTGTCTTTTTTTTTTCATCGAAAGAAAAAGTTAGTCATCATCAAGGTCGAATCTCGAAAACCTTTTCCACACTAGCGTGGAAAAAACAATTCTTTTTCCGTTTAGGTACCTACATAACAAAGTATTAGATATTTAGAAATAATCTAAATTGGGTCGACAATCGATCGACCAAGGCGGTTACTGAGTGGTATCCGGTAGGAGCGAGACGTCCTCGAGGCTGACCACCTGCTAGATGGTCGGACGATATTGTCGGGGTGGCCGGAAGATTGTGGATGAGATTCGCACAGGACCAATTGAGCTGGCGTGCAAAAGAGGAGGCCTATACCCAGCAGTGGGTGTTAACAGGCTGAGATGATGATGGTGATGATGATGAATCTGAATCAATCACCATAGTATGCTAAAGCAAAAGATTATTATTATTTATTTTTTTTCGAGTGATTTACCAATTGGGAATAGACTACTACTCACGACACGTCGCATGGTTGATTGCGTAACAACGTCAACGTGTAGCGTCTAACGAAATGAAGCACAATAAACACACTTAACCTGATTTATGAGTGCCTACTACAGCTTTGACAAAGTGTACTTAAAAGATTTCAAGACTTTTGGCGCCCTTGCATGTAAAACATGCCAAGCTAATAGCGTCTCATTGCGTTTTCTTGTTTGTTCGCTAAAAAATGTTCGCTATTTCAAGGCTAACTATATATAACATCACCACAAAACACAGAATCACAATAATTTATTTTTTTACTAATATCAAAATATATAAACACAAGTAATGTGGACTAACAGGACAAACTCAGCATTGCAGATTTTCAAGCTTCACTTGTAGCTGTTCGCTTGCTGCAGGGTGATGTGCGGAGAGTACACTAACTACATAGTGGAATAAGAACCAATATGGTAACTTCCATATAAAAAGTAGTTGCGCGGCTTATATGTGCGTACGCCAGCCGCGCACCGTGTAAGGACGCATACATTCGCATATTCTAAGGCTGCACTAAGCCTTAGCGCAGGTTGTCACACGCGCCATTCGTTACAGAATTGAAGCGTTCGTTTGGCGATTGGGTGTTTAAAAAATGGCATGACATATTAGACGTATTTAATTTTGTGTTTATGGCCTATTAAAAAGACTCGACTCCATTTTACAGGACTCGACTGTAAAATGAAGGCTAGAGGTTCGGGTTTTTGTGAATAAGACTCAGTCGTTATACCAACAGATTAGTACAGCTGGCACGCACTCGCATGCACACACAGGTACTTGCACGCACGCGAACGCACTCCCAGGCATTCGTACGCACTCATTGGCATGTATTGCATTTGACAAGCATTATTTCAATATAGTATGAAAACACATTGTGCTAAATACTATAGATTTTTTCTAATTTGGTTTACAGCCTTTCCACTGAAGTCTAGATATTGATGCGCTGAATAGGCGGGAGTTGCCCTCCTTGTTCTTATTCTACTATGCTAACTATACCTACATTAACACATTCTCGCGAGCTGCTACGAGCTAAG